ACTGATGCAACTGAGAGGCACCCCCCCTCCTTTTCCGCTATATTGGAATCTGTGTATTAAAAAATTCTTGGCAAAGGTTTTAAAGCATGATAATAGTAATGTGGTTCATCCCCCCACCCCTCTTCACCTCAAGTCTTTATCTTTTAGAGACTCAAAATAAAATATTTACAGAATGATAAGCTTTACAGAAGGACTGGGATTTGCCTTGAAATAATAATCCTAGGTGAGGTGCATTGAGTAGAGTTGGCCAGGGGGTGATGGTGGTCAGGGCTGGGGCTGGGAACTCATTATACCATTCTGCCTACTTTTATGACATTTTCAAATTCTCTGTAGTAAAATTGTAAAATATGCTTCTATCTGCACTTTGAGGAAATAGTCATGATTATCACTGGGTACTGAGTAGGAACTGAGTCCTGGGCAGGGCATGTCCAAGGCTGCTCAGACATCCCGCAAGCCTAACGTTATCATTTCCATCTTACAGAGGAGAAATCTGGTCTGGGAGACGTCAAAAAACTGAATCAAGCGTTTAGCGTAGAAGGTGCTGGGCTGAGCTTGAGCAGAGCAGCAGCGCTCCCTGGAGGTCACAGCTGGACCTGCCTCGTGAACTTGAACTGGGTGCGGAGTGGGCTGGGAACGCGTGAGAGATGCTGGCTGGCCCCTGGGGATGGGGACGTCAAAAGAACAAAGCGGTAGAGATAAATAATATTTTTTAAATAGTCGTAAAAGGATAAAAATATTTCCATGCAATGTTTTTTTAGGAAATCAAAATCAGTGCAGAAAAATTCACATAAATTAAATATCACAATTTAAAATACGGAGAGGTGGGAATTCCCCCGTGGTCCAGTGGTTAAGACTCTGCACTTTCACTGCTGTGATCCCAGGTTAGATCCTGGTGGGGGAACTAAGATCCCACAAACGGGACAGTGTGATCCTCCTTAAAAAAAAGCCAAAACAAACAAACAAACAGAAAACAGTGAGGTGAGTGAAATGAGTGTACAAATGCAGAATCCTGTTTTCATTAAGAGTCTGATATTTTGTTCATCATGGATTTTTGTTTGCACTGATTTTGATTGTTATAATTACTTTAAAATAGCATTTATTTGCAAATCAAAATCACACTGAGACACCACCTCCTAACCCCTGGGACAGCTGTAATCAAAAAAGTAGAAAATCACAAGTGTGGATAAGCATATGGAAAACTTGGAGCTCTGCTAGAAGGGAATGTAAAATGCTTTAGCTGCTGTGACAGTTCATTAAAGAGTTAAACACAGAATTGCCATGTTGGTGTTATTTAGTAGCTAAGTCCTGTCCAACTCTCTTGTGACCCTATGGACTATAGCGGATTTCCTTTGGCAAGAATACTGGAGTGGGTTACCATCCCCTTCTACGAGGGGATCTTCCTGATGCAGGGACTGAACATTCGTCTCCAGAATTGCAGGTGGTCTCTTAAATTGTGGTCTCTTGCATGGAGCCACCAGAGAAGTCCCAGAGAAATGTCTATTTAGATTGTCTGCCCATTTTTTTTGGGGGGGGGGGTTTGAATTGTTTGCTTTTTTTTTTAGATTGAACTCTGTGAGCTATTTGGCATTAATCTCTTGTCAGCCATTTCACCTGCAAATTTCTTCTCCCATTCCCTAGTGAGATTCAACCATTCTTAAACCAACAGCATAATTTGCTACGAACGTGACACTCACATGCAGAAAGGACACATCCCAGGCACGTAAAACAGTTGTCACTCCCTGAGTGTGTGCCTAGTGACAGATACTAACCTGTCACTCTTACTAGCCTATTCAATAATCAGGTGCTAGATTTTATCTCCATTTTCAGCAGGAGAAGTAGAGAAAAGGAAGGTGAAATAACTTGGCCAGATGCACAGTGCGGTGGTTTTTAAATCTGACTGTAAATTCCTTGATGGTCATCCCCTCAAAAAGTAGAAACTAACTCTCCTCCCCTTGAGTGTGGGTTGCACTTAATGACTAGCTTCTACTGAACAGAATAAAGCAGAGGTAACAGTATGCGCATGTGTACAAACTGGATTTAGAAAAGGCAGAGGAACCAGGGGTCAGATTGCCAACATCCACTGGATCATAGAAAAATAAGAGAATTCCAGAATAACATCTACTTCTGCTTCATTGACCATGCTAAAGCCTTTGACTGTATGGATCAGAACAAGTTGTGGGAAATTCTTAAAGAGATGGGAATACCAGACCACCTGATCTACCTCCTGAGAAATGTGTGTGTAGGTCAAGAAGCAACAGTTAGAACTGGACATGGAACAGCATACTTGCTCCAAATTGGGAAAGGAGTGCATCAAGGCTGTACACTGTCACCCTGCTTTTTTAACTTATATGCCGAGTACATCATGTGAAATGCTGGGTTGTATGAAGCACAAGCTGGAATCAAGATTGCCGGGAGAAATATCAACAACCTCAGATATGCAGATGACACCACCCTTATGGCAGAAAGTGAAGAAGAACTAAAGAGCCTCTTGATGAAGGTGAAAGAGGAGAGTGAAAAAGATGGCTTAAAGCTCAACATTCAGAAAACAAAGATCATGGCATCCGGTCCCATCACTTCATGGCAGAGATGGGGAAACAGTGGAATCAGTGACAGGCTTTATTTTGGGATCTCCTCCTTGTTCTCCTGCGCTGCCGCCGTGGCGGCGCGCTGCACCCCTCTTGGACAGAGCGTGGGCTGTCTGNTATTCATTGGAAGGACTGAAGCTGAAGTTGAAGCTCCAATGCTTTGGCCACCTGATGCGAAGAACTGATTCATTTGAAAAGACCCTGATGCTAGGAAAGACTGAAGGTGGGAGGAGAAGGGAGTGAGAGGACGAGATCATTGGATGGCATCACCAACTCAATGGACGTGGGTCTGAGCAAGCTCTGGGAGATGGTGAAGGACAGGGAAGCCTGGCGTGCTGCAGTCCGTGGATTCACAAAGACTGGACACGACTGAGCGACTATCACACACACACACACACACACTCCAGTACCACTTAAGCCTTCCATGACTATAGCCCTGGCTGACATCTGATTGCAGCCTCATAAGAGACCCCAAGCCTAAACTACTGAACTCAACTCCCACATTTCTGCTCCTAAAACTGTGGATAACTAGTATTTGCCGTTTTAAGCTGTTGTGTTTGGGGGGACGGTAGTTACACAGCAATGAATAACTAATACAACCAATTTGAAATGGACAGAGATGGGATTTGAACCCAGGTAGTCTGGTTCCACTGCCCAACTTAAGTTGCAATATGGAAAGTTAGAAACAATGTAGCCATCCATCTTAGGAAACTGCATAAATAAAGTATAAGTCATTCACTTGATAGAATTCTATGCACCCATGAAAATGAATGAACTAGATCTTCAAGGCTTTGCCCTGAGAAGGTGTCCATGTTATATTATTATGTGACAAAAGCAAGGTCCCAAAGGGTACATGTTGTATGAGTCCATTTTGGTCAAAATACAAACTTTTTCTCCATATATGTTCATGCATGCATACTAAGTCACTTCAGTCATGTCTGACTCCTTGTGACCCTATGGACTGTAGCCCACCAGGCTCCTCTGTCCATGGGATTCTCCAGACAAGAATACTGGAGTGGGTTGCCACGCCCTCCTCCAGGGGACCTTCCCAACCCAGGAACTGAACCCAAGTCTCTTAGGTCTCCTGCATTGGCAGGCGGATTCTTTACCCTGGCACCACCTGGGAAGCCTCACATATGTTCATATGTGCATAATAAAAGGGCTGTTCATAGTGGTTACCTCTGGGAAGGCATGTTACAGATGAGAGGAAGTAAGTCTCACGCTCCTTTTACTTCATACTCTTCTCTATACTTTGCATTTTTTAAAAAAAACTTTTCCCAATCTGGAGATTGAACCTTCGTTTCCTGCATTGCAGACCGATCCTTATTATCTGAGCCACCAGGGAATTCCTTTTTAAATAACAGGTTCTTTTAATTCTGTGTGATGTTATATTATGTCATTTCATTTTATTTTTTTGGCCACACCATGCAGCTTGTGGGATCTTAATTCTCCAGTGAGGGATTGAATCCACACTCGCGGCAGTGAAAGTGCAGAGTCCTAACTACTGGACCACCAAGGGATCCCCTATAGTTTGCATTTTTCCTTTTTAATTGTTTTAGATTTCTTATTTTGGGCTCCCAGCAAACTGATTCACCTATCCATATTGTACTACTTTTGTAATTAAAAAAAAAATTTAAAAAAATCCAAAAGATAGACTAACAAAAGCCTTTGCTTTATAGGGTTTTGAAAAATGTTCATCCCTTCAGGAAACAGTCTGGAATGTTTGTTTTTAAAAAAAAAAATGTGTAACTGGCCACTGACAAGTGCCCATGTATGCATTCAGACAGAATAGGCCTGTCATTCACTTATCTAGTTGCAATTTTGTTCCAGGGTCATGGTGTGGAGAGAAGGTCCTTTTAGGATTTTGTCCAGTGGGCATATTAGTTTCCTGAGACTATCATAACAAATTATTCAAGAATCAGGAACTTCCCTAGTGGTCCAGTGGTTGACTCCATACTCCCAATGCAGGGGGCACAGGTTGAATCCCTAGTCAAGGAAGTAAGACCCCACATGCTGCATGATGTGGCCAAAAGGAAAAAAAAAACAAAGTCAGATGTACTAATGTCTAAGGGCAGGAAAAGATGAATATTTCAGTTTAAGCAGAGAGAGTGAATTTGCCCTTCCTCTCTCTTTTTGCTCTACTTAAAGTGAAAGAGGAGAGTGAAAAAGTTAGCTTAAAACTCAACATTCAGAAAACTGAGATCACGGCATCTGGTCCCATAAAGCTGAAGCTCCAATACTTTGGCCACCTGATGTGAAGAACTGACTCATTGGAAAAGACCCTGATGCTGGGAAAGATTGAAAGGCAGGAGGAGAAGGGGATGATAGAGGATGAGATGGTTGGATGGCACCACCAACTTGATGGACATGAGTTTGAGCAAGCTCTGGGAGTTGGTGTTGGACAGGGAGGCCTAATGTGCTGCAGTCCATGGGGTCACAAAGAGTCTGACATGACTGAATGACTGAACTGACCTGAACAAGGCCTCAGCTGATTGGAAAGACAGGAATGTGTTGGAGGAGGCCATCTGCTTTACTCAGTTCACCAGTTCAGACGCTCATTTCTTCTGACAACACCTTCATGGACACATCCCTTTCTCCAGCTATCTGCCCAACCCTCCAGTTAAGTTGACACATAAAATTAACTGTCTTGTGATAGTGTTTGGAGGTGATTAGGAACCTTTGGGAGGTGATTATGTTTACATGATTGGGTCAAAAGTGTAGGCCCCTCATGATAAGATTAGTGTCCTTCTAAGAGAAAGACAGAGAACCAAGGTCATTGAGAACATAGCAAAAAGGCAACTGTCTGCAAGTCAGGAATTGGGGTATCACCAGACATCAAATCTGATGAGCACCTTGTTCTTGGGCTTTCTGCCTCCACACTCTGAGAAATAAATGTCTGTTGTTTAAACCACTCAGTCTGTCATGTTTGTTGTAGCAGTGCCCGCAGACTGAGCCATGGAGCTTGCTGTTCCAGGTCACATCACGGTGGAGCCCCCTGGACAAAGCTTGGTGAACTGGATTCCTGGGGATATTAGGACATCCCACAGACAGGGTGGCTTAAAACAACAGAAATCAGTTCTTTTTTAAAATATATATATATTTATTATTTATTTAATTAACTTGGTTGCACCGGGTCTCAGTCACAGCATGCAGGGTCATGCTAGACCTTTAGTTGCATGTGGGAGCTAGTTCCCTGACCAGGGATCAAACCCAGACCCCTTGCATTGGGAGTGCACAGTCTTAGCCAGTGGGCCACCATGAAAGTTCTCAGAAATCTATTCTTTTCCATTTCTAGATGCTGGAAGTCCTTCCTTGC